GCAATAAAAAGGAATGAAGTTCTGATACATGCTATCCAAACACACACACACAGACACACACACACACACACACACACACACACACACACACACTATGCTAAAAAGAAGCCAGCCACAAAGGACCACATATTATATGATTCCATTTATATAAAATGTCTAGAAGAGGCAAATCTGTGCAGACAGATTAGAGGTTGCCAACGGCAAGGGGGCAGGTGTAGGAGTGATTGCTAGTAGATACTGGGTTTCCTTCTGGGATAATGAAAATGTTCTAAAATTGATCGTGGTTAATTGTCGCACTTTTTATATATACTAAAATCACTGAGTTATACATTTTAAATAAATTTTATGGCTTATAAATTATCTCAGCAAAGATGTTAAAATGTTAACAACAGCAAAAAAGATTGCCCAGTGGTTGTGAAACCAAGAATCCTTATATTCCAGATGTCTTCTTTGTACTGTTTACACAGCACTAGTATATACGGCAAGAATCACCTTCCTCCACCTGAGGGGAAACAAAATTATAGCACATCCTTAATGAAAACCATCTGGCCAGTATGAGGCAGGCCTCTGTTATTTTTGGAATGCAGTAATGCAATGTGCTTGAGCCTTAACTTGCTGGAGAGGCGCAAGTAGCCCACGGCTGTCTGGAGTTTAGGACAGCAGCCTTCCTATCAGCTGAGTGGGCAGGAAAAGGACCTAAAGCTATAAAGTAGAAAGCATAGGTTAGAAAATTTCCTTGTGGCAAAACATATGCATAACACTGAGCAGTCAAAGCTTTCTTCACTCCTGAATTCCTCTCCATTTCCCACCCCTGAAATAGAGTCTGCTATTCTAGGTCAAACATACTTTAAATATAGGTACATTATGAATCAGCTAGAATTACATAATGATCAAGCAAGAAGGACCTTTAAAAGTATTGTCTAATGGAGCACTGACTCTGAAGCCACTTATTAACTGTGTGACCATCAGCAAATGTACCTCTCTATACCTCAGTGTCTTCATCTGGAAAATGGGCATAATAATGGCAACTGTTTATTGAAATTGCTGCAAAGACTTAGTTAATCCATGTTAAAATGTCTAGAATAGTGCCTGGCACATTGTGAGTCCTAACAAATTTTTTACTATTTTTTTTTTTTTTTTTGAGATGGAGTTTCGCTTTTGTTGCCCAGGCTGGAGTGCAGTGGCAGGATCTTGACTCACTGCAACCTCTGCCTCCCAGGTTCAAGTGATTTTCCTGCCTTAACCTCTCAAGTAGCTGGGATTACAGGCACCCACTACCATGCCTGGTTAATTTTTTGTCTTTTTAGAAGAAATGAGGTTTTACCATGTTGGCCAGGCTGGTCTCCAACTCCTGACCTCAGGTAATCCACCCACCTCGGCCTCCCAAAGTGACAGGATTACAGGCGTCAGCCACCGAACCCAGCCACAATTCTTAGAATTATAAACTGGTAAATCCCATTAGTTTTACGGAGGAAGACACTAAGGCTCAGCATGCTAAAGTGACCTGCAGTTGGCAGTAACAGGGCTGTTTACCAGGCTTCAGGTAAACAGGGCTGTTTACCAGGCTTCTCTTTGACTCCTGAACCGGGGTTTTGGGGCATTAATGTGTAGCCCTCCATATAAAATACTTGACTAACTTTTAGGTCTTGAAAGACAAATAACAAACACAGTGCTTAGCAGTATGTCTCACACAATGTAGGAGTCTGTAACATGTTTAATTCACTCTTTTTTCATCCCAAGTTTAATCTTCTAACATCTGAAGAAAGGTACTGACACTAAATCCCAGAATGTCCAAAAGGCAAGATGGCACCAGATTCTAAAAGAAAACAGACAAACTTTTTTTTTGTATTTTTCATTGAAGGAGGATAGAGTACCTGAATATGCTTAGCATCTAGAGGAAGAGACTTCTTTCTCTTTGTGCATTCTAGAAATGTAGATCTTAGATGCTATTATCAGGGCTTGACGATGTTTCTACCTTTCAGTGATTAATATACCTATCAATTTGAAATTCAAGAGGCAAAAGAAGTGCACAAAATAATTATATGTAGTATTTAATGAAGTACAGAGATAGATACAAAGATGTAACCAGAAAACCTTCTATGCTACACTAAAACCACAGTAAACTTTTAAACAATTTCACCATTTCTCTTTCTCTCATAGATGCATGCATGCATGTATACACATGTACACACACAATCACATCACAGTATTTAAACCAGCCTATGAGGCCCTGAAATATCTGGCCTCACGCACACCCCTGCATCTTTGTTAGAGCCTCACTCTTCTCAGCTCTCAGCCAGATGGGTCCTCTTTCCTTTCCTCAAACTCACAGGTCTCTCTTCTGCTTTGGGGCCTTCACACCGGCATTCCCTGTGCCTGAAAAGTTCTTCTTTACTCCAACTACACCTCTGCCTTGGCCTCTCCACCTGTTAACAGCCTGATTTATCCTTCAGACTCTGCTTAAATTTTTTTCTCAAAGAAGCCTTCCCTAACAACTCTTTACTAGCCTCTTTGCCCTCCCTCCTTCCCCGTCACACACAATGGAACATGCTTCTAACCACTTATCCAATAAATATCTTTCTTCCCCACCAGACTGTAGGCTCAAGAAGGGCTTTGTTCAACATTGCTTCCCCTGTGCCTACCACAGTGCCCAACACATAGTAGTTACTGAATGAAATTAACATTTCCTAAGGATTCAAAAGATCAGGTGATAAACTGATTTCCTAACTTCACTCAAATTTTACACAAGGCATCCCATATCAAGCTGTCAGCATGACAAATACACAAACCACACAGAGGCACGGGTTATGTACTACTTTTGGAGAAAAATTCAGAATGAACAAAAAGTTGATTATATGTATTTTAAAGTCACTATGTGCAAACCTATAAGAAAAAAAAAGTTACTTTTAAAATAAGCTTCAGAAAAAGAAACTTGTTACTAACACAACATGCTTATTTGGGAAGACCAAGGAGCAAAGTGAAGGGTGGAGGAAACAAGAATGCATGCAATTCTCCTAGGCTATTACCATTTCTTTCCCAAGTAAATTTATCTCCTAAAAGAAGAGAATGTGCCGAACCATAATTCTAAGTTTATCTGGAAAAGTACCCACTGGTGTGATGGGCTTCTATGAACAGTATGCCCACAAAGACAGGGCACATAGGTTAAAGGAACAAGCAGCATCATGTAAAGACAGCTTTCTCTGGCAATGGCTCCAGTGCCCTCTTCTTTAGGGTTTCCACCCTAGCACCACTCACAGCATATAACTTCTCTTACTTTGGGAAGAAAAAAGTAGACTCTTTTCCAACAGAACAGACAGGAATCACATGATCAAGATTCGAAAAGATCCTAACAGAGAGTTCTGCTTTATTGAAGTATACACAAGAACAGTCAGAAACAACAGCAAAAACATTTCACTACCAGGAAATAGTGCTGTATCAAGAGACTAAACTTTCCATACAGAAAGGAGAAGGAAAAGATGGGAAAAAATCCGCACAAAACAACAAAAAAAGTCACGGATGGGGTAGAATGGGAAAAAAAGAATAGTGTTGTAGATGAAAGAAAAAAAGGTAAAAAGTAAAAGTGTGTAATGGAAAGGAGTTAAAGACCAGCAACTAAATTTTATTCAAGTATATGCAGCTGAGAGCTGAGAGACACCTCAAAAGGAAAACTGCCCAGTCGAGCCTCCTCCCCTTAGGTTAGCAGTGTTGATCAGCCTCTGGCATTCACCAAACCAAAGGCTAGCTTTGAG